TATCTGTATTACTTACCAAAATTACCGGCATGGGAAATATATAGTAGCATTAAAACTATAATGGTATTTTTGGCCTAGCCTGCACAGCCGTCGCAAAAAAGATTCACTGTCTGAATGCCACTTTTGTCATTTCCTTGTAAAAAGAAATACACTGCCGCGGATATTTCCTAGGAACCTCTCTTGTTTTCAGCTTCATGCCAAACAAAACAGTTACAGTCTCTAGTGCCCAAATTGTAAATTGTAAAGTTACTATTCTTATAGAATACCTTGTAAACATGGGTAAATATATAATTTGCTGCAAGTCGAAAACAGCACTTATTACTTTTGGATTATTTTGTGAGTCTTTCTTGCATTTTTCTTTTATATCTCTAATTTTTTCTTTTGTGTGAGTAGTAAATCGGTCTTGCAGCTTTTCTTTTTCACTATCTTCGGCCCTTCTGTAATGTAAGCACAAACTACACTGGTCTTTTTTCGGTCGATGAAATGACAAATTAAATGATTTAAAAATCTTCTAGTAGGTACTATAGCCAGCAACTTCTCACTTCTATCTCGTTCTTGTACATATTGTACATGTTAGACAATGAGAAATCTCCATGGAGGTAATCTCGTTTAGAAGATTTTCTGCAATAGTGGGATTCTTCTCTAGGGAACCTCTCAATATGAAATTTTACATCTTTATATATTTTTGCATGCAGTGTTATTTATCTATTGAACAAACTAACATAATTTTGAAAAAAAAAGTGAGATACGACTAGCTAAAATATCAAATGTTATAATATTAAATACGACATTCCAACGTTTATGTTTTATTCCATCAGTAATTTATTATTACAAATAATGTTACCAGCATACAAAGTATGCAGTTTTAGTTATCTATTAAGCAACCTAACTCAATTTTGAAAAAAAATTAGATACGACCAATAGTCATAACAACGACGAAGTGCTGTACAATATTTTACTTACCACCACAAAACGTGTTTTATCAAAAAATGTAAAACCAGGAAATTTGGGTATGTTGGGTTCTAATTAACAGTGCTGTTCCTAAAGTGGCGCTGGGAAAGAGTAACAAAGCCTACACAGAACACGAGGCTAATGGCCTTAGTAGTCGATGCCGATGACACCAAATTAAAACAAAAAAAAAATTAATCAAAATATGTGGCTGGTTTTAGATTTGTTTTTTATGTAGTTTGTTGAATAAGATAATGACGGTAAAATAATATTAGGCATAAAAAACTATTAGAATACAATAATGTTTTTCATTCGTTGATTTTTTTTAATACAACAAATAAGATAAACAATCGTGAACAAGAATTTTTTTAGTATTGAAGATGATTAACTAAGATAAATAACGCTCTATGAACTGAGCTAACAAGTTTGTCATAGGAATTATCTAATTTAATATGTATATTAATAAAAAAAATACCTAAAATTAATGTAGTTATCTACTCTAAAATTATTTTAATAATTTGTTAAAAATAAATATCTGGAATCTAGGTATAAAAATCAATATTCACGATTTAATCATCAATTCTCTTTTGCTATTAATAATATGGACATTATATAGATTAAAATAGAAATACTCGTTTGACATATTTGACAGCTGATGTGGAAAGTAAAGGTATTTTTTAGCGAGTGTATGGTTTAAAATATTTTTGACTGTTTTAAACCGTTTAAATTTTAGTGATGCAACTATGACGTCGCGTACGAAATATTTTAAACCAAAGCTAGAATTTTTGAACCAGTCGGAGGCATATGGTTCAATAACGGTTGACACATAAGAGATTCTGATTGTGGCTGTTGTATGTTGTTTTGCTCTGTTCCATCTTTGAACATTTTGATATATTTGACGTTTTGTTGATTTTTATTGATTTTTGATAACTTCATACATATATTATGTAATTTATATTCATACATTAATTGGTTATAATGTTTTAATACAAATATTAATATTTATGGTCATCATAAACAGTTGGACAATGTGATCTACCTATGGGTTACTCTTTATTATGAAACAATAATTCAATTAAAGTAAGGTTAAAGGATTACTTATCAATTGTACGTTTTTTTACAAAAATAACTACGTAGTTTGTTTCAGATTCTGAATTTGCCAGCAAATATTTAAAAGCAATTAAACGTTCTTTGGCAGTTGATGAACTTTGGAAAAGCCCAACAAATCTACAGTAAATAATCGTTAGACAATCGCGTATCTGTGGAACTACGGAATAAATATGATACCATATGTTTATTGACAAGAAAAATACCAAAAATAAAATAATAACGTTTCAGATTCCAATGTACCTATTAAAAACACTTCAATTTTTACTTAAAATCGCTATCAAACACTTATCTTCCTTCATCTGATTTAACAATCATTAAAAAAAAAATGCGATCAAAAACATTTTGTCATATGACAGCAGATTATATTTTTAAAACACCCTATTTTTGCCATCTATTAATTCATGACGTCACTTTAAATATGGTTTAAAAAATATTTTAAACCAATGTGGTGGCTAAAAAACAACTTAAATATTCACACACGGGTGGAAAGTAGATTCTTATAACCACACGCGTGTGCTATATGGCACTTCCCGTAAGATTAAAAATAGTATATGTGTCACTTTCCTAAGTAGTCGTAGGAAAAATGTATTTATCTAAATTTTGTGAGATCTTAAACATATTTGATGCATTATATATTTTCAAATAATATCTGTTATTCACACATTTATGGCATTTTCATCCCTGACGTTAAAAAAAATTACAATACTATGGTTAACAAATTTCATTCTTTCGCTGCTTTTGTGGATTTTTTTACCAACATTCAATTGACAATTTTTTACTTTCTACAAATTTAGATTTTTTAAACAGCTAGTAAATGAATGAATCAAGAACTATATTTTGGCTCCGGTACGCTTTAGGTACCTACGTTGAAATTTGGAAAAAAACATTGATTACACTAAAAAGTACCATGACAGATTGTAGATACATTTCTAAAAAAAATACAGATAAGAATTTTTTTAATTTTTATAGGCATTTTGACTTAGGTAGGTGTACCGACAATTTTTGTTCTATAATAATTAAAGAATGGACATACATATTTTATTTTGTAAATAACTTAAATTATTTCATAAATAAATAATATTTTGATTCATTTATAAACATTTTGTTTGTCATATATTTTAAATAATTTTGCGAATTAAGAAAATGTTATTCTTGTAAATATTTACATATTTTATCCAGTTAGGTACTGAAACTCTTTGCAAAAGTAAGAAAATTATAAAATGCTATCTTGCGGCTTTTCTTAAAAAACATTCGGTTATTCGCATTTTTTTTTTTAGAAATATCTATAGAATGGGTACTTTTAATGTTTAGTTGTTTTTCCAAATTCCGCTGTACCTATAAAGCTATATTTTTTACTTATAAGTATATCTGTACGTACCTAGCTTACAAAAGTGAGAAACGAAGATACGTTTTGTTATTAGTATTTATTTATTTCTTTATCATTCTATATTGTATTCTATTAGGTCTGTTCCAACACGTGCGAAAAATTTCAGCAATTAAGAAACCTTTTCGAATTTGTTCATACATACCTAATTTATATTTTATATAGATAAAATTAAGTAATTTATCAATTAAAATATGCAAGACTTATTTAGCAATAAATAAAACAGTATGTTCTGTGCTTTATTTAGCTGTAAACAAGTTTATTTTCATTATTTTGACAAAATTATGTATAATTGCCATAAGAAGCCATGTATTTTGAACAACGTATGCAGTACCAGCGCCCATGCGGTTAATTATAGAAGCTCAATTAGCATGCGTTTTTTGGGACCGTATTTTGAGTATGCCGATTGATCTCTCTTATCTCTAGTCTTCATAATCGTCCTAAAACATGAACCGAGATATGGCATCGTGGTACACGCAAAATTCAAATTTTAGACGCCAGTGCAAAGTAGTGCGCACATGCGCACTTCTAGGAAACCGAACTACAAAATTACATTTCTTGATAAATGGTGGCTTTTCCGTATTTTTTTATGAAAATTAAGAAACTGGTTACTTATTAGTGTTTAAAGTTTTTTGCGAAGTTCACATATCCGGATTCCTCGACAGACCTTAACAAACTATGATTACTTTTTAAAGTAACCTCGTGTACTCGTGTAACTAAAAATTTTACATTTAGGCTGGAGCCGACTCTGTTAGTTTGGCAGATTGGAACATTATTGGAAACAAACTCTTTGCAAGCACTGCCATCTACTAAAGAATAACCGAACTATTGACATTTCACATAGCTAACTTGATTTTAATTACCTTATTGTTTCCATTTTTCTGCAACAAAAATATTGTATAAAAATTAAAATTGAAATCCATTACTTTAATCAGGTATATTATAAAATTATTTCAATTTTCAATTTTGTATTATATTTATTCATATACGTCTTCCATGTTTTAAATCCGTATTGGAATTTTATGTTACAAGGTTCCATGGTGTAATGGTTAGCACTCTGGACTTTGAATCCAGCGATCCGAGTTCGAATCTCGGTGGGACCTGCACTTTTTTTTATTTTTTTTAATTCTCCAAAATTATAAAATATATTTACGACTCACATTAAATCATTAATTTTACAATTTTAATATAGATCGTACTTTTCTATCGGTGTCACATAGCGACGTTGCCAAATTATAAAAAATCTAATAATCTAAAAATGCGTTCTAGTTTCATTATTCTCTATTTTTTAGAATAAAGCACATTAATAATGAAAAAAATATATTAAATTAAAAAAAATATATTTGCTAGTCTGCTGCTATCCATGCACTCAAACTAAAAAAAATATTGTATATTTTTTATTCTACAATCTTCTATAACCGCAAATCCGCAAAATATCAGCATATCTTCCATCCCAACTAAATAAACTATAAATAGGTATCTCTGAATAGTAAATTTAGTACAGATATACCTAACTAAAATTCTAAATATAACCAATCGGCTTTGGAGTTAACTCGTTACATCAGTTAGATTTGTTTTCTCTGCGGTCTATATTTTATATTAAGACATGTCTGAGTTTGTCGATAAAAATTATAGAAATAGGTGTAGCGAAAAGACTTTACAAACCAACAATAATGGCTTCTTTATGGATTTTGTTAATTTGGTTAAAGAAACCGCTGGCGAAACTTGGATCCAAAAGAAATTTGGACAGTTAAAAACTGATAACGAACGGATAAGAAGCATATATGATTCAGAAGAGGTACGTATTATATTAATATTGATTTACTTTTATTTAGCAAATTATTTATATTAACAAATCATTTTAATCAAATGTACTTCAATTTTAGAGTGTCTTTATTCATTTTTAGACAAAACACATCGTTCTAAAACTATTGTCCAACGTTCGAGAAGTATATAGGAAAAAAGATGGTACAATTTCAATTCTGAGAAGGCTTGAAGCTGAATCTGCATTTGAAAGTGGTGATTTAAACAAATCATTATTACTTTACAGTCAAAGCGTTTTACGTGCTCCCAAAACAGGTATATACATTAATATGGAGTGATTGAAAGTGATCCACAAAACCTGTTTCTAAAGTGGGAATTGAAATAAAAACACGCATGTCGGATCGTACAATTAATCTTTTGTTTTATAGAACGGTTTGTATTTCGTTTAGAGACCTGCGTAGCTGTTACGAACATGACTCGTATACAGTGGCGGCTCCTAAGCAAAATATTGGGGTTAATAATGACATAATATAGATCTCAGTACAGATATAGGTAAAAAACTTTCAGAATTTTAGAAAGGTATAGGTATAGAAAAGTAGAATATACCTAAAACACTAAAAGTTGTTTACCTATATCTGTACTGAGATCATTCTGTCATTTTGAAGCCCTAATATTTCCGCATCGTATTTCTGTTTTTGTCGGTCATGGCCTACTTTAGAAACATTTTTTCTGAAGCAATCAAACTTTAAATATAAGAAGTAAAGAAGTTGTTTGACAAATTATTTTTAGGAGAATGCAATAATTATGATTCTGGCTTAACACTCTCGCTAGCTTTATGGGGACGTTGTAAACTACTCATAGCTCTACATGAATACTCTCTAGCTCTTACTGATGTCCAACAAGCTCTTAAAGAACACTTACCCACCGTTTTTAAGGCAGAAGCTTATTGGAAAATGGCTATTTGTTATAAAGCACTTAAAGAAGATAAAAAATCCAAAGTAGCTTTTGATTTAGCTGAAAAAATGTTAGAATCTAACGAGCGGATAGAAGAATTAAAGAAAGATAGGGAAATGATTATTCAGTATCTTGAAAAGAAAGATATTAAAAGTATGTCAAGTAATTTATTAGAACAAGTAATTTGTCAGAATAAATCAGTAGTATTTACCAAAATTATAACTACAAATATTATACTATTTTTTAGGTCTTCCAACATTGGATAGCGTATATCACGAACAATTTCCATGCGCTTCCAAAAAACTTACGGTAAAAAGTGCAGAAAATTTGGGTAGATTTGTGGTAGCAAACGAACAAATTAAAACAGGCGAAACATTAGTGGTAGAACCTCCGTACGCGGCTTGTCTGTTACCAGAAATGTTCGGAACACATTGCCACCATTGTTTTGCTAGGTAAAAAATATTCTGTGATGTCTCGTTCATTAGATCCAGATAGTCGTGACGTCAAAACAAATTTGATAAATTTTGTTTCTCCACATTATAATACCATGACAACGATGTAAGATGTCACTATCATCTGTCAAATTTTCGCGCTCCATTTTTCTCTTCTTCAACCCGCTTTTTGTGGCTTATCCTAAACAAATACTTCACGAATATTTTTACTTGGGTTTTCTATAGGTTCGTTCTGGTTCTCAAAATGAAAACTGTTTTGAAACTGCGCCGGACCGTATGCGTAAAGGCAAAAAATCCCCGACTGTTTGAAATTCTTGGAAAACCAGAACACGTCATAAAGGTGTTTTGTTTATTGTTTATTATAATAATGAAGTTCCTTTTGAAAGCTCAGCTTCAAATAACATTTGCATGTATATGTTTATCATTATCATCACATTTCAATGGAATAAATAAAAACAGAATATTAAAAAATTAATAATTCTAAAATTGCTTTAATTTACAAATAAAACAAGAACAAGAGACATTCGTCCACATATAAATAAACAATTTGGGATTGTATACGTTTCGTATGGTCTAAAAAGCCAATACAATATTCATAACACTTCAAAAACGCATGCGCGGTCAAAACAGTCCGAGTAGATCCACACTCCCAAGCATGAACACTTTTTGACTGTTTACAACAATCACGGATTATTTCGGATACGAAACCAGAACAGTGGACTGAGAGATCCGAAGTAGTCCCAGAAAAACCAGAACACTTTTTATCTACTGCGCATGAGCCCGACAGTTGTGGATCGTTATTTCTCAAAACCAGAACAGACCTAATGTAAATAAAAAATAATTATCAAGCAAAAAGTGCAGAACACAATTATACTTGTATTTGGTAATAATTTCACAATCTCTTTATACATTTATGCCAAATTTGGCAGTGGGTTATTGTTTTTGGTAAGGAATATGGTTTCATTCATAGATAATTTAAAATTTTATTATAGGAGTTCCATATGAGCAATATGCGATTTTGATAATTTTGACTAGAACATATTAAATGATGTAAACGTCATTATTATGTAAAACTGTTTTATAACCTCCGGTCTTTCGTGATTCCAAGACATTAAGCCCATCGGTAATCACTGCCAATATGCGTCATTATTAAACGACGTTCTTTTCATCCCATAGAAAGCCCTTGAAAGAAAGCATCTATAATTTTTTAGTTTTAAACCTTGCCAACATTTTGCAACAATGTACCCTTTATTAACACAGGTTTCTTCTAAATAATAAAATCACCTCACCATTGCTATATCAACGAATTTTCTTTAAATACTTTCTTCGCCAGACAACAATTTTCTCTTTTTCCAATAGGGCACTATTACAATAACGAAAATTCATTTGACGCAGTGTACGTCTTAACACACGATATTTTTGGCAAACTCGGCACTGATTTTATTGACGGTAGGGATTTCATTTAAAAAAAAATATTTTTTTGCCGAATCTCATGTTTAACCTAATCTTCTAAAATTATGTCCCCGTTTTAATTTTTTATACCTATTACTTATTCGATACTTTTCAGTTTCTATACTCGTTTTTTAACTGTCGATAAAGAGTTCTGTCTGAAATTTTCGTTAATTTCCCACATTTTGCCGCCTCATCTACTGTATAACTCGGAATTGTTCGCGAATATAATCGTATACTTTTTTTTGGTTAAGTTATATTCCACTTCTGAAAATTTATGCCTTTTCGCAAAAGGGTTACTACAGCTAGGTAACTCCGGATTCATGTCAAATGGCATTTAATCCAAGTCAAAAGAAATACAAAAAATAATAGTAGGTAATAGTATGTTACAAGGACGAAAAGTTTAGTTTTTCGGGCGGCAACGAGAAGCTTGCCAGGCGAGACGTAGTCGAGCCTGGCAACTCGTAGGAGTCCGAAAAAAACAGTTTTCGTCTGTGTTTTATGCATTGTTTTTTATTCGAATGTGCTTAGATATTAAAAAATTTATAGAAAATTAAATCTGAAATGATATTATTTTCAATAATTTTTCCTTAACTGAGTTGGCTATGAGAACAATTGAACAATGTATGTCGTGTCACTGTGCTCATGTCAATAGTATATTACATTACGAGTGTGGAAAGTGACATTTTTCACAGGAGTGGGAAATATTGTCGCACGAGGCACAAGCCGAGTGCGACTATCACACGAGTGTGGAAAATCACTTTTCACACAAGTGATGTACAATATTTTTCCTACGACTACAAAATAATGTCATCGAAAATGTAAAACCAGGTTATTATTACTATAATAATTAAAATGTATTTAAAAAAATAATCAATAATAATCGTATTTATTCAACTTTCATATTTTCTAAACAAAAAAAAAACTAAAAAAAAATAAAATAAAACAAAAAAATTCTGGCCCCGCCAGGGTTTGAACGCGGTCGCTCGCCAAGTCTCAAATGGCAAAGTTGATAAGTTCGACATACTAACCAACTGAGCTAATAGCCCTTACGTTAATTGAATGATCTAATCGGTCATGTATTTAACCAGAATAAAGAGCAAACTTATCTTATTTATTTTATAATTATTTTAATAATAATTGTTAAAGATAAATATCTAGGATCTAATTTACAACAATTTCAATAATTTAACAATCATATCGATTTTAGTATTAATATGGACATTACATAGATCAAAATAGAAATTATGTGTTTGACATTTTCTGACAGCTACTGCGGAAAGTAGCATATTCGTACGCGGGTGGAAAGTAAATTCCTGAGGTATAGTATATTAGATTACGAGTGTGGAAAATCACTTTTCACACAAGTGATGTACAATATTTTTCCTACGGCCACAAAATAATGACATCAAAAAAATGTAAAACCAAGGTTATTATTATTACTATAATAAATAAAAAGTATTTAAAAAAATAATCAACAATAATCGTATTTATTCAATTTTCATATTTTCTAAACAAAAAAACTAAAAAAAAAAAAAAATAAAAAAAAAAAAAAATTCTGCCCCGCCAGGATTTGAACGCGGTCCAAAAATGGCAAAGTTGATAAGTTCGACGTCCTAACCACCTGAGCTAATAGCCCTTGTGTCAATTGTATGATCTAATCGGTTATGTATTTAACCGGAATAAAGAGCAAACATTATTTTAAAATTATTTTAATAATAATTGTTAAAGATAAATATCTAGGATCTAATTTACAACAATTTCAATAATTTAACAATCATATCGATTTTAGTATTAATATGGACATTACATAGATCAAAATAGAAATTAGGTGTTTGACATTTTGTGACAACTACTGCGGAAAGTAACATATTCTCACTCGGATGGAAAGTATAAATTCTTATTAATACGCATGTGATATAGGGCACTTTCCATAGGACTATATAGTGTGATATGTGTCACTTTCCTAAGTGGTCGTAGGAAAAATTCTTATTCATACGCGTGTGATATAGGGCACTTTCCATAGGACTATATAGTGTGATATGTGTCACTTTCCTAAGTGGTCGTAGGAAAAAGTACTTTATGATGTATATACAAAAGTTCTTCTTTTCGACTATGTTTTCTGTTCGAAAAACGACGTTTTTTGACACATTTGAATAAAAAATAGTTTACCGGTGAATTACCTTTAACCCTTTCTCGCCAACGCTACTAAAAAAAAAAACACACAGCTAACCATGATGCCTTAAATAAAATATTAGCGACGATACATTTTTATTGCACGGAAAAAAAATATGAAAATATGAGAGAGAATAAATTCAAAGATACATGGCAACGTGTATCTAACTGATCTTTTACTAGCAAATGACCGAGCTATTATTATTAAAAATATGTATTGTAATTTAGCTCTAAGACAAATGATCTTAAGTATGATATATATTGTAGTGTTAGCAAATACTTATGTATTTTAAACATATACTTATGTATTTTAAACATTTATTTGTGCACTAAAAGGAATTGTTTGTTCAACTTCATTACAAATTTGTGACATTTTTCTACTGCTTATATCAACGAATTTCAGTTCAATCCACATACTTTGGATTACTATACGGTGCAAGAGAGATGTCCGACACGCCCAACATAGGGCGCGGCCAATTTAATGCAATTACTACTAGGTTAGGCAACACATTTTTCCAAAATGTTAAACTGGTAGCCTACATCTTGGTATTTTGAGATTTTAAAGTAATATACAAGAAACTTCTTTGAAGTAAAGTTATAATTGCGAGTGCATCTTGAAATAGAGGTGAGTGGTTTTAAATTATTTCTAAAGCTGTGCATATGATTCTATCTTAATATTATGATATTTTTTGCCAGTCCCATGCCCATGAACAAACATTTTATTTTTGTAATGTAATAAAAATCCTTGAGGCTAAACAATCTAATATTATATTTTGCTTTTTTTAAAGCTGTAAATATGATACGAAACTATAAAATAAAAACAAAGAAATGTGAGATTAAAGAAGCTCTAACTAAAAGATATTACCAGAGGAATATACTCTTGCAGGCAAGCTGCAAAAGAGTTGGTTTTTATCTTATAATTTATCTAAGACAGACACGTTAAATTTGTATAACAGTTATTTTTTTTTAATTAGTTATATGTAGTTATTAAATTTTTAACTAAAACAGATGTATTGTTCATCTACAAATGCGTCTTCTTTCAGTTGTTGCATACTAAGAAATTGCTGAATATTTTCTATTCAAGAAAATACCCCTATGGGTATTACTGCCACCACCTCCACCAATATTCTCGTTTTCAAAGATTACACAAGTTTGTTAATTGTATTAATATTAGATTGCCAGTGTACATTTTCAAAACTCTTGCTACTTTCTGCTTCTATAGCAATCGATGGTATATAGCTATGCTTTTTTTAGTCCGTCGACTTAATCTTGTAAAAAGGATGTCGACATATGGTGGCTCTAAAAGACGTTTTTGTTACTTTTATGATTCCTGTGTATGTCTAACGTACAAAATCAATGTACCTGGATCAGTGGTACTTTTGCTTCTCAGAAATTTCCATTTATTCGAAATTGTTACACAGTTTACTCTGTACCAAATAAAAAAATTAAAAATTACAGGTGAGGCTGTAGGCTACCTCTACTTTCAGGTTTGTAGGAGCCAGAGGTAGTAAACCTAAAATAAATAAAAACAATTATTTTAATATAAATGTTCCAAAATGTAAACAATATTACTTAAATGTTTATTTATATTATTTTGTTTGATTTTAATACTGCTCCTATCTATTGAAGTAAATGCTTCAATTTTCTTGGTATTTGCCTTCTACAAAGAATTGTTTCATGATTGATCACATACCTTTTTACATGAGAGCAATAAGCATTTTCCTGAAAATGCTGAGCAGATATGACAGAGTTTAGCTAAAAATAATTTCTAAACAATTTGAATAATGGTTTGTAAACACTGTTCAAGTTAAGTGCTCGAAATTCCTAGGAGACCTGAAAAATAAAAAGCATTTAGAATACAACAATAGGAACATAATTAAAGTAGTTACTGTTACTTACAAATGGAAACATTTAACATAAAATCTCCAAGTAAAGCAAGGTTTTCAAGATATCCATTATTTGTTAATGGTTTTGTAAAGTGTAGGTTCGTAAATAATATCTTTGGTGACTGACTTTGAGTAAATATTATAACATATCCACTAAAACTATTGCGCCAAGATGTGGGCAACACGTAATAGGTGTTCAAAATGGCGTAGTTTTCTATCTCCTTTTAAAAGGCACTCAGAAAGCTGCGCAGTGCGATCATTCTCCGTATAGCTAGAGAAAATCGAAGTATGTGGTCCAATCTCTTTTACAATTATTGACACAGACGTTGTCATAGTTATTCTCTGTTTTGGAAAAATTACGTCACACTATCTCGGTTCATATGAAAGATAAAAACAACAGAGCTGGGATCTGTTTTGTTACTTGACTAAATTCACAATTTTAATACTTTTTTAAATTTCGAAGGCTACGTGCTCCTATAGGATGTCCAGATTGTGCCAATGTGGCTTTTTGCAAGCCAGCTTGTAGAGACGCAGCTCTTTCGTCTTACCACGTCCACGAATGCAGGTATTTGGATCTTCTTATCGGCTCAGGTATGAGCATCCTTTCGCACACAGCCCTGAGAATGATAACCCAGCAGAGTTTGGAAAAATGTTTAGAAATGTATAAAAATAGATCGAAGGAAAAGGTGTTTTCTCTGTGTACGAACAGCGAGAAAAGAGAAGCGGGTGATTTTTTACAAAGATCCTTAATGGCAGGTTTTTTGTTGAGGTGCCTTCAGAAATGTGGATATTTTAGTACGAACGGAGGTAATGGTAAGTAAATTTAAAAAATGTTCTTAAATCCAATTTTTTTAAAGAATAAGTGACAACCGCGTTTCTTTGCCACTTGTTGTTTAATGTCAGCGCCTGGCAAAGGAATGTTTTTAAATCCAGTTAAATTGTTGAATTGGTAAATAATAGTAAAATAAAAAATCTAATGTGTCCAACACATGATTTTCCTATCTAGTTATTCACCTCTATAAATGTTTAGAGGATAAACTAAATATATACATTTTCCACATACATCTAACTCGATACATTTTTCTATAGATATTCATTGAAAACGAAAATACTGAAAAATTAAAATTTAGCACTTTTCCTCCAATTTTTCTATTACGGTCCATTTTAGAAAAATCATGTAAAAACAAAAATTATAGAAATCGACATCGCAAACAACTTTAAGTTCAACAATTTTCATAAAAATCAGAATTTCGCACATTTTGTCAAATTTCTCGAATACGGACCATTTCAGGAAATTTTGACATAAAACAAAAATTATAGATAATAATATTAGAAGTAACTTTTATTTGAACAATTTTCTTCTCCAAACATAAATAACAGATATATTGCATAAAATATAAAAACGGCCTCCCATAAAGTACCTCCCCAGATGTTCAGACTTTCTCCAAAATATAATCATTTCACGTCCGGCCGAAATAAAACTTAAGTTTAAAATCTATTGTTTTTTGGGTTTTCTTCAAAATTCGAAGTTTACACATTTTCTCAAATATCTCGAATACGGTCCATTTGAGAGAAATTATGTATGGAATAAAAATTGTAGAGAATTATCTTACAAACAACTTTTATTTAAACAATTTTTATAAAAAATTAATTTTTTTACATTTTGTCAAATTTCTTGAATACGGACCATTTTAGGAAAATTTTATAAAGAACAAAAATTATAGATAATAATATTGTAAGTAACTTTTATTTGAAAAATTTTCTTCTCCAAACATAAATAACGAATATATTCCATAAAATATAAAAATGACCACCTATAAAGTACTTCCCAAATGTTCCGACTCTGTCCAAAATCTAATCAGTTCACCATAGGCTGGAATAAAGCTTAAGTTTAAAATTTGGTGTTTTTCTTTGTATCGGCTCATGAGTTATGGTGGATACAGACAAACACATACACACACAGACAAACACATACACACACACACACACACACACACACACACACACACACACACACACACACACACACACACACACACACACACACACACACACACACACACACACACACACACACACACACACACACACACACACACACACACACACACACACACACACACACACACACACACACACACACACACACACACACACACACACACACATACACACACACACGCACCCACACACACACGCACCCACACACGCACCCCACACACACACACACACACACACACACACACACACACACACACACACACACACACACACACACACACACACACACACACGCACCCACACACACACACACACACACACACGCACGCACGCACGCACGCACGCGCGCACCCACGCACACACACACACACACACACACACACACACAAAATCATGATTCCTATACTTTCCTTATACAAAGGGGGAAATTATTTTGAATCTATTCAAGGTAGAATGTACGTATCATTGTTATAATTTTTTATTTGATATACCTAATACAGAGGCTGGCCACTTTTTCATTGAAAAATTTCTCGGTAAACCATTGATAACACAAAGTTTGTTAAATGGGAAAAAAAGGAAAGTTGTATATTTTGAAGCACAATCTGAAGATAAAACAAATTAGTTCCATTTCTATATTCCATTACTTACAATACACATTTATTTTCAAAAATGGACAAATTAATTTATGGTTTTTTGGTTTTTGTTTTATATCAAATTATGTTTCGTAAATGCAGTACCACCATGAACTTCTTTATTTGATTATAGACCAATATTATTTCGGAACATTTGAACATTGATGATGTAAGTTTACTAGTATGAACCTGTATTTTTTAATTATAAAAATGTTTGGATTGGTAAATGCTATATTATCAGTATTAGAAATTGTTTTAGAAATTGTGAAAAATTTTAATCTGCTGTTGTAATCTTTACAATGATATATTGAAATTAGGTAGGTAGTTACTTGGTTAAAACATATTTTCAAAATATTTGCAACAATTTCAAATTTTCATAATAAATTCCGAATGACGTGCCGTTCGTTTAAAACGTTACTAAGAAATGTTTTCCGTTTCTACCCTGCATCCCAATACAAATTTTCAAATAAAGTAGGTTCTATTAAAACAGAAAAAATTAAATTTACTTAAAGGAACCAAAAGAACCAAAAGAGGGCTGTGTGCACTTAGCTTAGATTAGCAAAACAGACTTGTATTTCGTATAAAATTGTTTTATTTAAAATGCAAAGCCCATTCGACATTACGTCATCTTCAGTACTTATCTGTCTTCCCAATAATATCCAAAAAGTTTGTCATCTTCATTCCAAAAATTAAATGTTGGAGTGCCCCACCTTGCTAAATACTCATAGTTGTTTTCTTTAAAATATTTTTGAAATTAGGAGTTTATACAGCCATTGTTTAAATTTTTTGTTTTTTGGATATCATTGTGGAGACAGATAAGCACTGAAGATGGAGTTATGCCGAAAGCGCTTTGCATTTTAAATAAAACAATTTTGCACGCGACTACGGTAGCGTAGGTGTACACGGCGCTCGCATTCAGTTGCGAGCCAATTTTGTGGTAAAAAGGCACCGGGCATCGAATCCTACAGAAGACCATGTGAATTTATTTGCATGGTTTTCTATAAAGGATTTGATGGATGACGTATTAACAGAAATTTAATTTCTGTTGTTATGACATCCGATTATAAAAATCGCCATGCGTTACCGTTGGCATTATCAATCATCTTTAGGTCGCTCCGGAGCGCCACGGCTAATAATAATAGCCGTCCCTTCCCCTACATAAGTCGCTCAGTCGGCTTCAAAGGTTGAAATTCACTGGTAAGGGGGCGAATTAGGGAGGGTATTATTATAATACAAGTCTTTTTTACTAAAATTGGTTAGCCTGGTGTGAAAAAGGATGTGGTGTGTACATAAAATGTAACAGAAATATAGACAAACAAGCTGAGGTACCTTCATTTGGTACCCATAAAGGAGACACGCATCTTCATTAATTTGTTAAAGGATAGCGGTCAATATAGCTTACGGCGTAAATATTGAAAGAGAAAGAGGTAAATGTATAAACGATGATTTCTGCACGTGTTTTAACAAACTCCAATATGGACATGAACAGGCTTGTCCTGTAGACTGACAGACAGAATGGCTTTACCCAGGCATTTACAATCGGGGTGGTAGAAGCCCACCAAATGGCTACTTTCCAAAAATGGCACATCTAAAGACACCTCTCGGCGATGTTATTAACTTGCTGTACCTTGACCTGTCTCTGACCCCCTACCCCACATACTTTGATTTTCTTTTACTATACGGAGAATGGTCGCACTGCGCAGCTATCTGAGAGCCTTTTAAAAGGAGATAGAAAACTCCGCCATTTTAAACCCTTATTACGTGTTGCCTACATCTTGGCGCAATATTTTTAATAGGTGCGTTTTAATCATCCGCTTCTGCTTCGGAATTATCGGTTTTCTTGTTTTAATCTGACAGGTTAAAACGACTAAACCGACAATTCCGGAAGCAGAAGCGGATGATTAAAACGCACCTGATATTTTGCTTGCTGCTGTCAGTGTCAGTGAGTATTATTTTTGAAGTCACAGTTTATTGCTAAAGAATCAGTTAGCTCACTCGGACCAGTTGAAAGTTCCAAAATAACATCAACTTCAGGGATACAAATTCAGGATACGCAAAAGTCTGCTGTTTTATTATAGGTGGTTGTCATATATTGTATTATCCGAGTTGCACAGTGTATAAACTGAAACATTGAGATCAAAAGTGCCGACGCAAAGTGAGCGATCTGATTCTTTAGCTGTAAACTGTGTCACAGGGTTCAAAATGGCCGCGCCCTATGTTGGGCGTGTCGGACCTCTCTCTTGCCTCGTATAGTAATCAAAGTATGTGCCCTACCCCCCCTAGTGACAACCAGCAGTTTTTTGATGAGTTGATAACCTGCAAGACTTTGATAAGCTGAGATGGCTGTCTCTAGATATCCCTCAGTGACAACCAGCAGGTTTTTGACAAGTTGAGAGGCAGGTACCCAAATATTTTTCTATGGACAGGCGTAAATGGTAAATGGACTAAATATTTTGATATGGGCAGGCTTAATGGATAAAGAGCCCAAATATTTTTACATGAACATGTTTAAGCTGTAAAGTTGTAAAGGGAAATTTGTTTACATATGTATGATCAAGAGGTAAAGAGGCTTAAGGGACGAAATATTTTTAGATGTGCGGGCTGAAGAGGTAAAGATGCCAAATATTTTTACATAGGAATCAGAAAGCTTAGGGACCAAATAATAATTCATGGGTAGGCGTAAGGACAGAGGGCTAAAATATTTTTAGATGGCTTAAGCCTTAAGGGCAAAAAGTAGAAACAGTTTTACATGGACATGCTTAAGGGCAAAAGGTCCAAATATTTTTACATAAGTTACGTAAGTTTTTTACGCACTCATCAAATTAGGAACTCACCTCTACGCGAATTTGAGCGTAACTTTTCCATTCGTGCATAATATGCTTTTTACAATACTTATTACGCAATATACCATTAAAGGTTATATGTTAACATTTCATCATTTGAAGCGTTGTCTAATTACCTGATTTGAAAAAAATATTAACATGAATGTCATTAAATTGGCTTCAAACATCATCTCACTGATTACTTTTTGAACCTGATTCATTTATTTATTTATTTACGAAGCTGAGATATAGATCCTAGTTTTATTATTTGAAAAAATTACATAAAAATACAGTTAACAAGAGGAGTAAAATGGTTATTGTTAATTTTACAACAAAAAGTAATCTGAAATTGTGAATTTAATAAATCGTAAATCGCAAATCAAAATCTGAAGAGTCAGAACTATTTGAAATAAGTAGCTGAATAAATTGAAAATTTGGAAACAAATCTCACCAATCCACCTACGAATTATTAAGACTATCCCCGAACCTAAAGGTTGAAAACAAATACTTGGAGATTTGAAAAAGCTTGTCGTAGCCGGGATCGAACCCGGATATCCATTCTTGTATGCTACACCAATGCCCTTTCCTCTAGACCATCAAAAAATTGGTAGTATTTTATAAAAAATTCTGCTTGCCGAGAAAATAAGATTACTATATGAATAAAAATCGTAGATCATATGTAAAGGGTGTTAGTAAATTAATAAAACATGAAAAATGTTTTAAGAAGTACCATTATTTATACGTTTACAAAACGAATACAAATTTTCAAATAAAAATAACGAATTTTTCCATTTAGAATAATCGTAGTGTAATTGTGCAATTATTTTTAATTTTCTCGGATTTAAAAATTTGTATTCAGTTATTTTTTTTTAATTACAAACCAACTTTATTTTATGAACATTTTATTTTAAATAATAATGGTACCTAGCTCTCTTGAAACATTTTGTTTTATTAATTTATTATTACCCTGCAAAAGGCCAGAATTTTTTATATAGAATAATGTTTTTTCTATTCTTGTGGACTCTATTCGTGGACACATTATACCTATATTTTTTGATGAAACAAATAATTTAATTTTATTTAATTTTATTTAATTTTATTTAATTTTATTTAATTTTATTTAATTTTATTTAATTTTATTTAATTTTATTTAATTTTATTTAATTTTATTTAATTTTATTTAATTTTATTTAATTTTATTTAATTTTATTTAATTTTATTTAATTTTATTTAATTTTATTTAATTTTATTTAATTTTATTTAATTTTATTTAATTTTATTTAATTTTATTTAATTTTATTTAATTTTATTTAATTTTATTTAATTTTATTTAATTTTATTTAATTTTATTTAATTTTATTTAATTTTATTTAATTTTATTTAATTTTATTTAATTTTATTTAATTTTATTTAATTTTATTTAATTTTATTTAATTTTATTTAATTTTATTTAATTTTATTTAATTTTATTTAATTTTATTTAATTTTATTTAATTTTATTTAATTTTATTTAATTTTATTTAATTTTATTTAATTTTATTTAATTTTATTTAATTTTATTTAATTTTATTTAATTTTATTTAATTTTATTTAATTTTATTTAATTTTATTTAATTTTATTTAATTTTATTTAATTTTATTTAGTTTTATTTAATTTTATTTAATTTTATTTAATTTTATTTAATTTTATTTAATTTTATTTAATTTTATTTAATTTTATTTAATTTTATTTAATTTTATTTAATTTTATTTAATTTTATTTAATTTTATTTAATTTTATTTAATTTTATTTAATTTTATTTAATTTTATTTAATTTTATTTAATTTTATTTAATTTTATTTAATTTTATTTAATTTTATTTAATTTTATTTAATTTTATTTAATTTTATTTAATTTTATTTAATTTTATTTAATTTTATTTAATTTTATTTAATTTTATTTAATTTTATTTAATTTTATTTAATTTTATTTAATTTTAATTAATTTTATTTAATTTTATTTAATTTTATTTAATTTTATTTAATTTTATTTAATTTTATTTAATTTTATTTAATTTTATTTAATTTTATTTAATTTTATTTAATTTTATTTAATTTTATTTAATTTTATTTAATTTTATTTAATTTTATTTAATTTTATTTAATTTTATTTAATTTTATTTAATTTTATTTAATTTTATTTAATTTTATTTAATTTTATTTAATTTTATTTAATTTTATTTAATTTTATTTAATTTTATTTAATTTTATTTAATTTTATTTAATTTTATTTAATTTTATTTAATTTTATTTAATTTTATTTAATTTTATTTAATTTTATTTAATTTTATTTAATTTTATTTAATTTTATTTAATTTTATTTAATTTTATTTAATTTTATTTAATTTTATTTAATTTTATTTAATTTTATTTAATTTTATTTAATTTTATTTAATTTTATTTAATTTTATTTAATTTTATTTAATTTTATTTAATTTTATTTAATTTTATTTAATTTTATTTAATTTTATTTAATTTTATTTAATTTTATTTAATTTTATTTAATTTTATTTAATTTTATTTAATTTTATTTAATTTTATTTAATTTTATTTAATTTTATTTAATTTTATTTAATTTTATTTAATTTTATTTAATTTTATTTAATTTTATTTAATTTTATTTAATTTTATTTAATTTTATTTAATTTTATTTAATTTTATTTAATTTTATTTAATTTTATTTAATTTTATTTAATTTTATTTAATTTTATTTAATTTTATTTAATTTTATTTAATTTTATTTAATTTTATTTAATTTTATTTAATTTTATTTAATTTTATTTAATTTTATTTAATTTTATTTAATTTTATTTAATTTTATTTAATTTTATTTAATTTTATTTAATTTTATTTAATTTTATTTAATTTTATTTAATTTTATTTAATTTTATTTAATTTTATTTAATTTTATTTAATTTTATTTAATTTTATTTAATTTTATTTAATTTTATTTAATTTTATTTAATTTTATTTAATTTTATTTAATTTTATTTAATTTTATTTAATTTTATTTAATTTTATTTAATTTTATTTAATTTTATTTAATTTTATTTAATTTTATTTAATTTTATTTAATTTTATTTAATTTTATTTAATTTTATTTAATTTTATTTAATTTTATTTAATTTTATTTAATTTTATTTAATTTTATTTAATTTTATTTAATTTTATTTAATTTTATTTAATTTTATTTTTTATTTAATTTTATTTAATTTTATTTAATTTTATTTAATTTTATTTAATTTTATTTATTTTTATTTAATTTTATAACAGAATGTATTTTCTCCACGGCCACAGACACAGTAGGAGCTAAATATAGTAAAATAAAACTCGGGGTTCTTTACGCTTGCATATGCTTACGTTCAGAATCTTTCACTCGTATCGAATTTTCATTCCAACCTTGTTACAGAATATACTAAATATAACATTTTATTTTAAAATAAGGTTTAACTTTCATAGCCACCCCCTTGATTTAAACTGAACAGCATATTTATTATACTTTACATTCTAGATCCTTGCGTATTTTAAAAAAATATTTGGGGTTGGTAGTTTGTCGCAAATTAAATAATTTTCATTTTTTTTTTCAGTTGTACCAAGCGATGAAGAATTTGTAATAGGAGAACTACTACTTTTTAATTTACAAATGTTGCAATTTAATGCCCATGAAATATTCGAACAAGTTACGACGTCAGATCGTAATTTAGAAGGATCCAAATTATCCTACATCGGAGTTGGTATATACCCCACCGTGGCATTATTTAACCACGATTGTTACCCAGCAGTTACAAGGTAGCATTTTCAGCATTTCAGAAGTTTTTTCTTGCTGTCTCTACCTACCTTATTTTAAATGCTAAAATAACACCAACTTTCTTTCTTCTTTCGCTGTTGCTAGGTACACGCTAAAGTGTACACAAATCAAAAAAATATATACACGCGAAACGTCATATTGCTGTGGTGGGAGGTGTTTGTGTGAATACGTCTTGTTTGTTTTCATTTACGCCGTGACTAGCACAGTAGTATTTTATAAACCTTGGAAGCAAATTTCACATACATGAACAAATAATAATAATAATGCCGTGACAAAAAAAAAACGAAGTAACAACTTCTCGTAGGGTGGCGGCTTCGCAGCCACAAAAAAATTTTAATCCATACCTAGCTACGACCGGCGTAAACACCAACGGCCTACACACAGCTCACCTACTCTGTCAAAACGTTTCGCGTTTATATAAATTTTTGAATTGCGTACCTAGACACTGTGTTCTTCTTTTACAGAATGATCAACTATTCATTTCATATGAAAAAGGAAAGGAATATCAAAAAAAGAGTGATAAACAAAACAATGTATCTAAAGTAGGCCATGACCGGCAAAGGTAGAGATTCAAGTTATGTCCGTGATAACTACATACACCTCTGAATTAAATCCGAACTGACACTTGAAAATAAGAATAATTGTACGCCTCGACATGCGTCAATTTTTCCAAGGCCTACTTTAGAAACATTTTTTTCTGGATCATTTCATATTAAAACATTAAAATATTTTTTCTACGATCATTATCTATAGTAGGCCTTTGTGTCTCGAAATGTCACCTCAAAATTCACGTTTTCCACGAACTGATATTAAATGTGATAGCTTTGTTGCTTTATCGCGACGACAAACTTTTAAAAACGTTGACCTAATTTTAATTAGGTATAATATACGATTATATAGATAATATAGAATTCTAAACCAGAAATAGCATATTGTAACGATTGTCTAATTTAAAAATATAATAATGTATCGGCTTAGGAAGAACCAATTCTGCTAGAAGAATCTCGAAACCTTCCTCTACTACTTACTGCGAAAATTTTAGTATCAATGTCTCGAGTCTTCGTGATGGACGACAGCGATTGTCAACTCCAGACTCTATGTCGCCTAAACATAAATAAAGAACAGAGTCGGTTTCGCACTACAATATAGAGAAACAGTTTAATGTGAACCTGCATCCTACAAACATTTTAAATTTTTTATACGAAAATATTCGAGCACAGATTGAAACTCAATACAATTTTGTATTACGCCTTTGTTTTTAAGTCGAAACCTCGAGGTCGAAAAAATCATGATTCCTAGATTTTCCTTCTGTATACAGACAGGAAAGTAAAAATTAACCATATTTTCACAATTTAGGAAAATTTAAATCCTAATTATAAACAATACCAATTAGAAAGATTGTGATGATTACGTAGGCAATAAGTACAGTTGACGAAACCGAAATGTGAACGCCAAAGTTTAATGGTGTGATTTAGACTTTGCATCATAGTTGTTCGTCATATTCCAAATTGACAGCTCTTAAAAATTATTGTCAAATAAATTTTCATAAATGCCGCAGCGTTTAACTGAGGCTCACAAGTCGGGAGCCATAGCAAAATTGGAAAAAAATTAGTTTATGTGAAGCAGGGCTAGTATATCTAAGGGGGTCGCGACATAGACCTAGGTAGTGGATGAGGGGACGACTGAGGCTAGGGGGAAATAGTAGTCAGGCTAGGGAAAATAGTAGTCAGCTTAAGTTGGCAAGACTTTTCTGATATTCGTTTGGCGAAATTCACGGTTATCGTTTGTCCTGCAGTAACAGTATTATAAAAACAGAGACAGATTTACTTTTAACGTGCACAATGTTAATATGGTAAAAGAGGAATGAACCAATATTTTCTTCCTAGTGGAATAAAAACTAAAAACAGTTTGTACTTTTTTATATACCAAATTATGCAATTTATTTCCACTTTATTTTTATGTTACACGAATAGGTAAATGCGTTTGTGGTGGGGTAAAGAAGTGTTCATATAAAAATTGCGACTGCACACCTCTCATCAATTTCAAATCAAACCTGGATGTTGTAAGCTGTAAATCCAGGATTTAAATCTTTTATAGTGTTGCTTCGGATAAATTGTGAAAAAGGTGTTGGACAAAACGTTTAGAACCTAAAATTGCATGGACAACACCGTAGAACCTGCTTCCTACAAACTCATTTTGAATTTCTTATACGAAAATATTCGAGCAAAGATTGAAACTCAATACAATTAAGTCGAAAACTCGAGGTCGAAAAAATCATGATTCTCTTTTAACATTTTTAAGTGACTAAGTACCAATAAGAATATTAAGAATACATAACTGGAATATGAAAATGTAATTACTTGATTTAATTAAGAGCTAGATAGGCACTGTACAAATACTCACATTTAAAAAAAAAAATTCTCAAAAATTTGCAAGGTAAGGTATAGTTAAAAGTTCAGTATTAGATAAATAAGGACTTCAACTATTAGAAAAAAATTAATTTTAGTCATAATCTAACAACTTTTTTTTAACATTTGAGGCGAGAGGTGTGGCGAAAGGACCTCCTTAAGAAGTAATGAGGTGACGCGCGCTAAGCTGTTTATATATTGTAAGATGTTTTCTTGACTCTAAGAAAATTTAACCCTTACAAGTACACCCTAGGACTCGAAAGTACTCGAGCGCCAGTTTTATTAATGTGGTTTGCTCCACAACACAGGTAGCTTCTAGTGGAGATGACGGAAAAACTCCAGGGGTCTCGTTGAGGTAAGACTATACACATAAGAGGGTAACAATAACGGGCTTTAATCGTTATTGTTACGTTTAAAGAATTGTCGAAGCTGAAAGAGAAAAGGGAAAGGTCGACACAATTATAAGCCAAATTTTTGAAAATTAATACATCTATTGCTTACGAAAGCTATTAACAATAATGAAACTTAAAATAAAAATATTTCAAAGCCCACCCCCTTATGAGTCGTTATAACCCTGAACAAAAAAAAAATAAAAACAAGCTTGACAGGTCGGAGCTCAATCAGACGTGATTAGATGAATATACAGATAAAAGCAAATGATACGGAGTTCTGGATTAAATCGGATTACGGTAGCATTTAGTTATGAACAGGGAATATAAACGGAAATAGAATTCAATATTAACAATTATGAAAAATAAAATTAATCGGTACCAGGTAACTAGTTTAGCTTCCCATCTAATATCCCACCCTTTCGGAGTTAAATCAAAGTTAAAGACAAAATGTAACCACAGATAATATCTAATTACTAGCAGTGTGGCGACACAATCACGCATACAAAACACTAGCTAGGTATCAGATACTATTTATTTTTCTATACGGAAATCAAATAAACGTGTTTTCGGTCGTGACCCCTTTTTAATAAAAAAAAAATAAAAATCCACGGATAATGTCTAATCACTAGTAGTGTAGCGACACAATCACGCATACAAAACACTAGTTAGTTTTTAGACATTATTTTTAATCATTAAATCGATTACGAGTACCACCCTGTATTTAATTTAAAGGAAAGAAAATTGAAATAAAAGAATCGACTACTGTAAAAAAAAAATAGTTAACCTAGACCTGGCAGCAATTAAATCGTTAAATCTATTTATCTTATTAAATAATTTAATCGTATCCAAAATCGGAAAATAAAATAAAAAAAAATCAGGTGCAGCTTGTTTTACAGGTGATTTTCGCCACTCGTCGTGCAAACTCGATTATTAATTGAAGATTGAAGTGGGGAATCGCAGGCTACCGTCCGCTGACTTATAAAAAATTTTGATGGGAAGATTCAATATATAGTAAACGTTTGAAAACCCGAATTTTTGACGTTAAAGCTAAATGATGAATATGAAAAATAAAATAAAAATAATTCGGTTTTCCGATAAATTCTATGTCTTTTCAAATAAAATTAATTTATTAAAACCAACCGGTAAATGATGATAATTAAATAAAATGTTGAATTCGGTTTTCCGACGGATCCTATATTTCTCAAATAAATAAAAAAAGTAACTTCGTTACAATATTACCCCTAATAAGTAACTAGAAAACTCTCGATTGTACGCGAGCGCTTCAAGCGCATCGGGCCTCTTCCCGAATATTTATCTGTTTGTTTTTTCCAACGACTATTTCTGACACGATCTGTGGCGTTTCACTGCGTACGCTTAATAATATTATTTATCGATTTTAGTCATTATGAGTTAAAAATTACAGTGGCATTTCACGCTTAATACAATTGCAAATAAACTATTTGTGCTAACTCTATAATTTTTTTGCTCATTATTTGAATTTCTGAAACTCTCGTGGGCCGGATTGAAGCGTAGAGGGCCGGATCCGGCCCGGGGGTTGCCCACATATGAGATAAGGTATGGGGAAAGTATCTATAATGAAAATGAAGACAACAGCTTAAATGTGTTTAAAACAAGCTGGCCTAATTTTACATTCTTTTTTTTTATTTGGTGTCATCGGCATCGACTACTAAGGCCATTAGACTCGTGTTCTGTGTAGGCTTTGTTACTGTTTCCCAGCCCCACTTTTAGAAACAGCACTGTTAATTAGAACCCAATAGTGAATGGCCGAGTGGGTTTATATTCTTTTATTGAATTGCTGTTTACAAAAAATGAATTTCAACTTAATTTCTAGGTATATATTATTTAACAAATCGTTAAAAGTTTTGAATATTAAATAAGTTGTCTCTATTTTTGTTTTATGGTCATTTAACATTGACTTTCAATATTAACTAATTTTTCACCATTTTTTTGTAATATGCCCATTTCCTAAAAGAATGTGATCGTAGAAGAAATATTGTATGCAATTCGAGTAATCAGTTCTTTGCCGCTTTTGACAGATTGCTCGCGCTCTAAGCTACGACTTTGTGTTTCAAGCGTCAAAGTACACAAATAGCTATTTTTAAGTGGATTAAGTACACGAGAGTTGATCCCTATGCGTCGCCACTGGCCTGTTCATAATAATAAAAAAATTATTTCAACAATTTCGACATCTCTCTTAATCTAAATCTTAAAGTGCTTCATGGAAGACATTTTCTACAACCTTTTTAAATCGTTCATTTATGGCTGACATAACATCACTGTCCTTTGTAAATGTTCTTTCAGTTTCGGTAACCTATTGTAAATCACCTTGATAAATAGCAGTGCAATACAAGAGATATGATTGGAAGCACTGTCTTGACGTTGTATGAATAACTATAGTATGTTAATTGGAATATAAAAGTTATTAGAAATAATTGCGCCTGACATCTATTAATACAATGATTCAAGTAACGATTTCACTTACCTGGTCAGTTATATGCCCTCTACTCTAGCTTTTAGACTGGTATTTTCTAATATTGCCCAGGAACAAATAGATAGTAAGCGCACTTTCCCGTATTTTTCACTAAATCTCGGGAAATTTGTAGAGTATATCCTGGCAACACCACAGCGCATGCTTCAATACTGAATATGCCTAATTATTACCCAGAAAATTGTCATTAAATGGCAAAACAGTTTTGGAGAAGCTGTGTTGCCTACTGAGGGTAGGTCGTCCAGATCGATAGATCCTTTAGACCAGTGGTTCTCATACTTTTTTGGCGACGGAACCTTTTTGAAAAACGAAATATTTAAAGGAGCCCTAAACATTTCTAAAAAAAAGGTCCTCAAGCAAAATCATATCCTGCTTATTCCTAGTGACTTCTAAAAAAAAAGGTCCTCAAGTAAAATCATATCCTCCTTCCTCTTGGTGACTTCTAAAAAAAACAGGTCCTTAAGCCAAGTCCCTCTCTTTTGTCCCTCTCTTTTGTCCCTCTTTTTTTTTATTATGACTATTATTTTCTTCGCAGAGCCCCCAAAAAGGCTTTACGGAGCCCCAGGGCTCCGCCGCCACACTTTGAGTAACTCTGCAGACAGATCACGGGCAAGAGGAGGGCTCAAAGGTCAACAAATTTAAAAACTGGGCAATCCGGCTAAGGTGAGCAGTATTTGCAATTCGGATTATCGGTTTACAACTCAGTTAAGGTTAGCAGGGGATGCAGTTAGCTACGACCCCTTATATGCATTATTTGTCGAGTTGCAAACACTGTTTACCTTAGCCGAGTTGGCCAGTTTTTACATTTGTTGACCTTTGAGTCCTACTTTTGTCCGTTATTTGTCTAAAGAGATCCATCGATTTGGACGGCCTACTGGAGAAGCTGTGTTGCCATTTAATGACAATTTTCTAGGCAATTATTAGGCGTGCTTACCATTAAAGCGTGCATTGCCGTCTTGCTAGATCTACTCAACAAATTTTTTATGTATAATTTTGGCTCGCTACTAGAAAGGTACATTTGCAGTTCTTTTCTTTCATCTCTAACTTCCTATATTATTAAATGTGTCGAACGGTTAAAATTTTAGACAGGTTACTGTAAATAAGTGAGGAGTGGAACATGGGAATCAACCAGAGATAACAAGAGATGTAACTATCAAATATTCTAAGGGACACAGGAGGGTATAATATCCGCTGTTGCCATATGCCTATTTCATTATTCTCGTTTTGTTTACGAAATTATTTACATATATTTAAAAAGCTAAAATAATTCAACCTATTTTATTGCAACTGAACCCAAACAATTTTGAATCATAAATCATATCAAATTTAACTAAATTAGATGTATTTTTACTAAATTAGATGTATTTGTACTAAATTAGATGTATTTGTACTAAATTAGATGTATTTGTACTAAATTAGATGTAATAATTTTCAATAAATTTCAAAACCTCGTCAAGTTAGGTTGGAAGTGGCAACAGGGCTTACATCGGCATCTATATTTGCGTTGTCTATTATAAGCGCACAGCGTTTTACACATTTATTCATTAATAAAAAAAAAGTTGTATCTGCGTAAAATTCTTCTCTTTATCCCCTCTTTTACCTCTCACCTTTCGTCTCCTCGCCCCATCCGTACAAATAGAGTATATTGATTGTCGAATTAATCTTGGCATCGCGAATATTATATTTTATCAATGACTGGCTATATCTCTTATCTCTGGAATCAATCCTCGTATTATATGTGAGTGTTTTCAGATATTTTGTCGGAAGAGACATAATAATAAAAGCACTAAGGCCTCTTCAACCGAACGATGTGGTTGCGGAGAATTATGGACCGATATTTTCTAGAAAATTATTGCAAGACCGACAGAGAAGTTTATCGTCACGATATTGGTTCCAGTGTCAATGTAATGCGTGTACTTCTAACTGGCCTTTGATGGATGGATTGGAAAATGTAGATAAAAGAGTAAGGTAATTAAAAAATGTTTTTACATATGGATTTCGGTTGTAATTTTTTTAAGGAAAAACATTTTTTTTTACTGTTGAAATAAACTGTTTAACGGTAATTTTTTAGTTTAGTGTCCTATTAATGCACATGTCCAGTGATGTTTAGAATTTGAATTTTACCTCTGCCACTTTGCCAAACAAACGACAAAACGAGATAATACGCCCATTCTAGTTTTGTTGTTTGTTTCTTCTTTTAATTTTGAGGGCAAGGAAAATTTTCATCCTCCTAGCACCTCTCAATAATTTTTAATTCAATTAATGGTTATTAGCTACAATTGTACCCGGCAGGTGGGGCTGTTGTCGCGATCCAGGTCTATATCTTCATCTTTATACGAGTAATTTTTCTCCTAAAGGGCTTGACCGATCTTGATGTTTTTTATGTATTTATAATATTTAATTGATATTTTAGATGTACTTCTCATAACTGCACCAGTGTCTTTACTCTTCCGTTATCAAATAATTCAGCCGCTTGTCCTAAATGTAAAAAGAATGTGAAATTGGATGAAAGTATAAAGTTACTAAACTGGTGCGAGGAACAATACGAAATAGGATTCGAATTTATGAAGAATACGGAACTTTGTAATGCAATCAAAGTGTTTTGTGAAGCCATCAATGTTTTTCATAGGTAATAGATTAAAAAATAGTACTGCGTATTACAAAATAAAAACAATAAATATCGAAGTTGCTATAAATTGTAAATTATGTTTCTATTTCAGGATTTCTTGTCCACCTCACAGGACAACGCATTTAGCTCAAGAATCGTTGCAGCTTTGTTTATCTTCGTTTGGAAATAGTTCTAATACGTTAACAAAAAAATGAATTAACTGTTTTTATTATTAATTAAACAAATCAAAAAAATATTGTTTGTAACATTTTTCTTTCGGAAATTAAAAAAAAATCGATTGATATCGCAATATTTTTAAAAGAATTAGGTGTCAGATTGTCAGAAGGGGTAGTTTCAATGATCTGTAAGGTTCACTCATGTGGTAAGTATGATAATATCAGTGGGTGAGTTGCCAATACCACAGGCGTAATTCATATGGTTCATTTTAAAATATTTTTGCAGTAACTTTACGAGTAAATAGACAAATCATTATTGGGTATATGGGGCAGAACCATAGCAGGACGTCATAGTGTGATAACCTAGCTTATTTACCTAATGCCAACTAACCCCGGTAGCAGTTTTTTTTAACTAAAACAGTCATTGTGCTTTTATGAGGCATTATCTATGTTAAATTTTCTAATATTAATATATGGAGTGGCCCAAAAGTCTGGAAACGGCCAATTATTTCGTAAATTGCTAATCCTAATTGTACAAAATTTGAGGTACACTTATTTTGGGATACGGAGATTCCAGATTTGATATTTGCAATGTTGCCAGATTTGCCGTTTCTCTTATATTATTAGTCACTTTGGTTTTTCAAATTCATCACCCTGTATATTCAGTCATTATTGGAATCTCCTATTCAATACGAGTTCAACCATATGTAACACTTATGATTTTATGTAGTCTGGAAGGTCTTAAATAAATAAAACCATCATGGAGAAATGTGGTAGACGCATTCTACCATCGATTAGGGTACTGTCAACTCACAAATGGAGCACATTTTGAACACTTGATAAAGTAACCATTACGTTAAAAATATTATAATCTTTCAATTGTTACGTTTTAATGTATGTAGTTGAAAATAGTTTGTATTAGAAAAATACGTGTGGCACTCGGGGACTGCTGCGGTAAAGCTATTGCATAGCATTTTTATCAACTTATGCAATTATAATTATTTATTTTATTTATGCAGTATTTTTTTTCTTTGATATTAATTCAAGTTCTTTTTGAGCGTGGTGACCGATAAGAAAACAAATTTTTTTCTTTTATTGAATAAATGAGAAGTTAATATTGTTTAAAATATTTTTATTATCTTACAATACATGTAGGTTATTCAGGAATTTTTATCATTGAAACTATAGGTTTATGGTAACTGAAATAAGAAACATAAGTTTGAGACTTGATATCCTCTAAATATCTGGAAAATACCGCGTCAATGGTGGTTCCATATTTTTTTGTGGATTCTTGTGGATCATTATTCAATTTCAAATTCAATTTTTCCGAAATTGTGTCTAAGAGAGATAGAATCAGTTATGAGCAGTTAGCAGCTAGTCCACACGCGTACGTCTAGTCGCACGCACACAAACACCGTGCCGAAGTCTGCCGAACTGAAACGACGTTAGACGATGCACGGCTTTCAACGCCGCAGCGCTGTGCCGGTCGGAGTGGGGGGTGTTAAGTTTATTTTCGTTACGGAATTTCGTTTTCGATTTTTTGATTTTTCGATTTTTCGATTTTTCATTTTTTCGATTTTTCGATTTTTCATTTTTTCGATTTTTCGATTTTTCGATTTTTCGATTTTTCGATTTTTCGATTTTTCGATTTTTCGATTTTTCGATTTTTCGATTTTTCGATTTTTCGATTTTTCGTTGTTATTTATGTTTTTGGATATTCTCAGTTTTCCGTTTGATTTTAGTTATTTGCAAAATTGTGATGTTTTGTTTTTTCTATTTCCTACTGTGTTTTGCAATAATTTGGGAGCTACGTTGAAAACTTCGAGAAAAACTTCATTGATTCACCATGCATCCTAAAAAAAATTATCACTGGACTAGATTCCGAAATCATTTTTTACATAAGAGAGTATACCACCATCTGTATTTGGATGGAAAATATTTATCATTGAATGAATAGTTAAAAGGATTAACCTTTTAATCCAATACGTATATTACATTTGTCCTCGGTTAAAAAGAAATTTATAAAATATTTTACTTTAGTGTTAATAAAATGTAATATCCTAGTATTCTCCCAGTCTCTACTTCACATTTAAATATATTGATAGTTTAAAGATTTGAGATTGTATACCTATTTGCTCCAAGTAAGTATTCGTTAAATATGTATTATTATTTGTATTTATTTTTATCTAATAACTAGCTGACCCGATCCCGCTTTGCTGGAATTTCTCAAACCTGAAAAAATGTTTTATTAGTTTATTAATTTTGACTAAATTTTATTAATTTTTACTAAATTTTATTAATTTTTATTAATTTTTACTAATTTTTACTAATTTTTACTATTTTTATTAATTTTTATTAATTTTTATTAATTTTTATTAATTTTTATTAATTTTTATTAATTTTTATTAATTTTTATTAATTTTTATTAATTTTTATTAATTTTTATTAATTTTTATTAATTTTTATTAATTTTTATTAATTTTTATTAATTTTTATTAATTAATTTTTATTAATTTTTATTAATTTTTATTAATTTTTATTAATTTTTATTAATTTTTATTAATTTTTATTAATTTTTATTAATTTTTATTAATTTTTATTAATTTTTATTAATTTTTATTAATTTTTATTAATTTTTATTAATTTTTATTAATTTTTATTAATTTTTATTAATTTTTATTAATTTTTATTAATTAATTTTTATTAATTTTTATTAATTTTTATTAATTTTTATTAATTTTTATTAATTTTTATTAATTTTTAATAATTTTTATTAATTTTTATTAATTTTTATTAATTTTTATTAATTTTTATTAATTTTTATTAATTTTTATTAATTTTTATTAATTTTTATTAATTTTTATTAATTTTTATTAATTTTTATTAATTTTTATTAATTTTTATTAATTTTTATTAATTTTTATTAATTTTTATTAATTTTTATTAATTTTTATTAATTTTTATTAATTTTTATTAATTTTTATTAATTTTTATTAATTTTTATTAATTTTTATTAATTTTTATTAATTTTTATTAATTTTTATTAATTTTTATTAATTTTTATTAATTTTTATTAATTTTTATTAATTTTTATTAATTTTTATTAATTTTTATTTGTTTTTATTTATGTTTATTTGTTTTTATTTATTTTTACGATACACCCCATTTCCCTTTCCTTCATATGTGAAAATCCAAAAATCTTGAAATACGTCATTATTTACTTAATGAGTGGCTACAATTCCAATTTTCAAGGTTCTACTTAAAAAACCAAAAGTCTCATTTAAACTTTCGACTCCCGTTTCTCTCCTTAATGTGTAAAAATCTAAATACCCTGAAACATGTCTATTTATTTATTATGAGTATCTACAATTTCAATTTTCAAGTTCCTACCTTTGAAAAATCGATAGCCCCATACAAACTTTCACACCCTCACCTTTCCCCTATGTTCCCATTTTTCTTCTTTTCCCCATTTCCACTCTTTTCCCCATTCCTTTATTTCCTCCGTTCCTCTCTCTCCCCCATTCCACTATTTCCCCCATTTCCCCTTTTCTCTCTTTCCCCTCTTTTCTCAATTTCCCCTCTTTCCCCTCTTAAAATATGAAAATCCAAAAACATGAAACACACCATTATTTATTTATGATGAGTAGCTATAATTCCAATTTTCAAGTTTCTTCCTATTCAGAATAACGAAATATTGACTGTCCCCACTATACGTATTTAACATACAATTCCCTTGCCCCCACTTTGAGAATTTGAAGGTTTTTAAAGTCATTCTTTCGTTATGCCCAGGGGCTGGTAACTCAAATGGAAAAACATGAGGACGGTAATTTAGTACCACTCCAATTAACGGGATGGCGCTCGTATCGAAATGTCATGTCAGTTGTCAGCTTGTCAACAAAACTTCATACTTGGAAAAATTAAAATGGCTGTCGCATTTGAAGGTGTGTTGAATTTTGATTCATCTAGATTTATTTTTCAACACCTTCCAATTTTAAGCATGTTTTCAAGAGATGTGAACATGGATTTCAGCAACGAACAATGAAGCACTCCCAGATATTGGTATGCGGTCGTCATATTAAGGATAAACATACAATTTGTAATAAGTGTCTTAAGAAAAATGCATCTTGTACTGGCATATCAATGGTAAGTAATATTTACAAACTTGTTTTTGATTCAGTGTTAAAATAATTGGTTTGTTATTTAAATTTCTTTTTGTTTTCAGTTTTTAAATGATCATTGTTATAAAGAAAATGTTGGCCCTTCAAAATACCCTGTAGATCGATGAAATATTTGAGCCTTAGCCATCAATATCAAAATTTAATTCAATGCCATTGACATCAAACAAGAAAACACCCCAAAATCTTCAAAGGTCCAAACGTGTGTAAGTTTAATTTAAGCTCGAAAGTTAAATTCATTTATCACAGTGCTCAGATGATGAATAAGAATTTGATAACTACAGGTGCTGTACAAATATATCAATAAAACAATATCGGATGAAGAAATGTTCCTCAACTTAACTAGTCGACTCAATAAGCATATGGCAAATTTTATCCACCCTCAATTTCGCCTTGATTGTAAAACACCAAAAGGATGATGCTTCAACTTCAGTTTTTTCAAATTGTAATTCCAAGTTGCAAAACTTTTATATTGGTCTTGAGCACTTAAATATGTCGAGTTTGTTACAGAAAACATTTTTAATAGGTTTGTTTAACCTATCAATAAAGCCCAAAGTCGAACGGTTTTTATTTACTGCGCATGACGATGACCGTAATATTACGGTTTTGTGAGATGTTGGGATAAAGCTAAAAATCACGTGCTTTGTGACTACATCGCATAACGTGTATCTTCTTATCCAACTGTTCCAGCAACGTTGGCATCGGTGGGGTATCTAGCTGTCTTTTTTTCATCAATCTATTAATGATGAACTAACAGCCCTGTCTTTTTATCCAACGTTGATGCAATCGATACAACACCGGTCCATCACTTTCAATGTATGGTTTTTCCGATTAGATGTGACAACTGACAGCTGGATTGCGGGAATTAATCAGAATTAAAGAAATTAATTATTTATTTAATTATTTTATTGTGGCAAAAACCGAAAAAATAGCTTTTAAAATATATACGTTCAAATTAAAGTATATAGGTACATTCAAATAAAATTATAAACGCAAATTTTAATCCAAAATGTCAACTGTTATTTATTTCATCGAATCATCGAATCCAACACAAGGAGTTCAAGGCCGCATCGGTGACTCAGAGTAAGTAAGTAGTAAAGAGAGGACAGTAAACAATGTTTGTGTCGCCATGATAATATGGTCGAGAATTCTAATTAGAGAGAAATAGAATAATATCTTTATCTCTTTGTTTGTATTTGTCAGTTTTACAAAGCTTTTCTCAGACAATTATTCCAGTGTTTAATTTAAATTTGTTCGTGTTGTGGTGTTAAAAGTAGTTGTTACTAATATTATATTCATAACAAAAAAGTCATATTTTGTTTTCACTTCATTAAAAATGCACCTACCTACCTTTTAAAACATTTTATTTTATATTCTATTTGGTCAACATTTTCGCATTTAAAATGACCCAGCGAAATTGTTTTACGGTACGCTACTGCTGAGAATTCTAAAACGAGTGAGAAAGCCTTCATTAGAAAGAAAGATACTGATTATATGATAGCGAGATTAATATTGTATAACTTTATGCAGTAGTGGCCTATCTGCTATTATATTATCTAAGATCGGTGAAATAACGATTGCGGTAATAAAGAGAGGACGCGTAACAAGTATATCGAGTACACGTAGTATTCTGTGCCGATTATCTATTGGTCGTCATTATTTTGGTGCTAATCATTTTGGTTTTTGAATTAAACGACATTTAATAATTGATTTATTACAATGGTTTATTGTGTGGCATATCAGTGTTAAAGTTATAGCGGCAAGAAATAAGCAGATATTACGTTGTACAGGTAAATGATAAACTTTTCACTTTATATATTTTCTTATATTTTTCATTTTATTTGGTGTTATAGAACTTGGTATTTACATATTGTACATGTTTCACTCCAGAGTAATAAATTTTACCCACCAAGTTTGTTTATTTTATGCTTTCCATTGATATTTAAGCAATTATTAATATTAAAATGGCCAAACATGTAATTTTTTCCAGTGACGTGTCGTACAATTCTAAATATTAACTTTTATTAAATCCTAATTTACTTTTGCTTCTTATTTAATTGCAGCAATGTTTATTTGTTGTTCTATTTTAGATTTCCTGTGGATCCAGCAAAAAAATCTTTGGATTCAGGCAACGAAAATTGCAAATTGGATGCCTACGCCAAATGATAGATAGTGTTCAAAACATTTTGAAAGACGTTTTTTTTATGGGACGGACTGTAAAAGACGTTTACTAAATGGAGCAGTTCCCACTATATTTCCTGAATTCTCTAAAGACATGCAGCCGAAGAAGGTGCGTATACTAATAAACATATATATTTTTTTAATTACTTTTCATTATTATGTTATGAACTTTTAAAAATTTAGAAACCCTTTTGTGTATAATTCAAAACATTACCATAATAATTGATTGTTTGTAGTACTTAAAAAGAAGAGCACTGCATTTAGAAGCTGAGCCAGGTCCTTCAAATAGAACTTCAAATAAGGAATCTATCCTAGAAAGCCCTAGCATAAAACAGCTTAGAAGACAACTTTTACAACAGGTAGAAGAGAATAAAGAAAAAAACAAGACAAATCAAAGTCTTAAACAAAACTTAAAAAATATAAAAAAAAGAGTTGTTTGCTAAAACTTCTTGTTATTGTACCAAATTAGTATTATTTAAGCGTCAGTAATAAATTTATCTTCATTTATGTATAATTTTTCTTACTAGCTTAATTTAATAATATCCAGATAGCACACTACATCTTAAAGACGTCCAGTTCATGTCTTACTTTTGTCCAAACGTCCTGGTACGTAAAACGGACGGTTTTAAGACGCCCTGCTCAGGACATGTTTAAAACGTCTTTGTTGGGATGTTTTTAGGACTTTTTGAATATGTCGGTAATGTCGACGTTCAACTATTTTCGCTATATTTGAATATGGCGCCACGACAGCGTTCTTGGCGCTGCCTGCAGCGCATGTAGATCGTCATTCATCATTGTCATTGGCTGATTGTAGTCTCGCGCGCGCGTATCGAGTCCTGTTCTTCCTCTAGCTGCCTTCTTCTCGGGGCAGCCATTGTATAATATTTTTAAATTCCATTTAAAAATGTTATTTTAATTGTGAGATATCCTGTATATATTAGCATCAGATTGATTTACCATTTAATTATCGGCGCTATCAATATGGAAAGGGAGAGGGAAATTTCTCTAGGTGGGGATCAGACTGGCTCTCAATATTGGAACCTTTTCGTTAAAATTCATTTTCTCATCTGATAACTTAAATCAACAGTTCAGTGCCCAGACTGTAAAAGATAGTGGAAGCGAATGTAAGTAGTCTCACATTATAAATTTTCTCCTTCCTATCGAAAATTCACTGCTAGATACTGGTATACACTCAACTTTAACAGAAACTATTTTCGAATTATTCAACTGGATGTTTTGGAGCTAGAGAGGCTACCGAGGCTATCGATGATGGCGACATTTCTAACTTAGAAGATCTTCAGATATCTACATAGCGGTAATTAATTCACGAGGCTAAAAAACTATTGATTATGGTATGATAAGAGTTTTATCTTTAAAGTTGTTGGTACCAGCATGATAAAAATCATTATTTAGAAAATTTTAGTATTTTTTTTATTTAAATTTGTAAAATAATTCATTTCGTATAATTAAATAAACAAATTCATTTATATGTTAAATCTTATTTTTTTTTAAGGTTACAACAACAATTCTCTTTTACTTAAATTAAATTTTATTATATAAGTTTTTATTAATTTCCTTTTGACAAAGCTAGAGTTTATAATTCTCACTAGCTTTCTAAAAATAAAAAGTGGCGCCCCTCTCTCCCAGAAAACTATTATCCCGTAAGGTGTCTATTAGAAAATCCGAAATCACGACTGAGAAAACTATATGGTCAATGTACTCATTTCTTTTTAATTTGATTAAAGGTAAGTAATTTTTATTTATTTATTTTATGTGGCGTCATCGGCATCGACTGCTAAGGTCATTAGCTTCGTGTTATGTGCAGGCTTTGTTACTGTTTCCCAGCGCCACTTTAGGAACAGCACTGTTAATTAGAACCCAACAGTGAATGGCCGAGTGGGGGAATCCTACCAAGGCACAGAATTAATTTTAAATAATTAAATTAAATAAAAAAAATCCCGGCCAACTGTGGGATTCGAACCTGGGACCCTTGGATCCACAGGCAGAGACTCTACCACTGAGCCACCCACCCCCTAAAGGTAAGTAATGTTTGGTGTTAAATTTCTATAAGCTAGTCAAAATTTCTCAGTGTTTTGAAATTAATATTTTATTGCAAAGTAACGTCAACATATTGCAATTTCCAACATGTTACGCCTTTGGTCAAATATCGTTGGTGTCAGAATGGAACAAGATTTTCAGCGACGTTATGAGTCCTCTCGTTATTACCTAGTCTAAGATTGCAACAAACCGGTGGGCAACATCGTCATCATAGATTAAGGGAAAGTGAATAAATGGAAAACTCAATGGTAAAATTCTGAGGCGATGTGGCTACCATCTATCAAATTGGAGTGGCACTAAAATCAATTTGGCCGCCAGGGGCGGTCTTTTTGAAATTACTTTCTGCTAGTTGGGCAAAAATGTAATGAAGAAAATCAATTAAAAAATAATAAATTGGAAAAATATTTGACTAGTTTCAAATCATAAAACAACAATATTGACTGTTTTATGATTTGAAACTAGTCAAATATTTTGACAAATTATATGTTTATTTGATTTTACTTCATTATATTTTTGCATTAATTTCAAACTTGAAATAAAATGCAATTTACTTAATTTTTTTTTTTTATTACAGTAGATTAACGCCGCATCATATAATTTGTCTATTTAAACATGGAAATACTTAGACAAACATGCATTTAAATAATTAAATATTTATAAAACAAACCTATCAAAAATGTTTTCTGTAACAAAATCAGCATGTATAGTGTTTAAGACCTTTATAAAAGTTTTGCAACTTGTGGTGGCAAATAAGTTTGAAAAAATTGAAGTTGAAGCATCATCCTTTTAGTGTCTTAGTACCAAGGCGAATTTGAATCGACTAGTTAGGTTGACAAGCATTTCATCATACGATAATTGTTTATTGATTTATTTGTACAGCACTTGTAGTTTATCAAATTCTTATTCATCACCTGGGCACTGTGAATTTAGCTTCTGAGCTTAAATTAAACTTACACACCTTTGGACCCTTGAAGATTTTGGGGTAAGTTTTCTTGTTTGGCATTAATAAAAAAAAACAATAAATACTTTTCATTTTTTTGCTGGTCTGGTGCGGCGCCGATTTAATTGACTTTCCACGCTGGTCCAAGGGGTTCCATCCGCCTCTGACAGCAGTCTAAGTTTGCAGTTTGCAAATTGGCTTCAGAGAGGCATTGCAAAATCCTTCATATTAGATGATGTTACAACCAACTAGCCTAAAGACCTATTTGTGTAACTACTGATAGGTATTTAGCTACTGTTGTCAATATACTATTAAGGGATTAAGGCAGCACGATCACCAGCCAAAGGGTCCTGGAGTCCAGAAGGAACATCCGTTTACCAGTGGCAAATAAAAATAATAAAAAAATAAAATTAAAAAAAGCACAAAATTAAATCTAATAAGTCGAGCGGCTTTGGCAACTAGTTATAGACTCTTCTAGTTCATTTAGGGGTGGAAACGCCGAGGCTTCACATATACTCGGAATATTTCATAACTGGTTTGGAAAAGGTGAGGAGAGAATAATAATAAGTATTAAAACAGTATGTTATGTTATGTTGAGAATGGGGTGTTAATACACTGCGACCTGAAAGATCTATTGTGCCCCCTTCTGTCGCCACTGCATTAAGGAAATGTCTCAATGTCTATAGCGACCCTTCCAATCCTATTTTCTCAAGGAAGTGTAGGATTTGAAGTGGCTTCAAGTTAGGTAAATCTCCCACTTCTATTTGATATCCTCCTAGATATAGTGCCCTTGGATTCTGGAGTGCTACTCATTCAGTTAGGATGTGAATGGAGGTTTCGTCCTCCTCCTCACAGAATCTGCACTCACTATCCTCTACTACTCTCAGTTTACTTAGGTGTCCTTTTAGTCGGCAATGCCCGGTAAGGATCCCTGTTACAATACGTAGCCTGTTCTTGCTTAGGCAGATGCAAGCTTCCGATCTTTTCTGGTTATATTCGCCCAGAAGTATCTTGGCCTGTCTCAGCCCCAAGAGATTGTTCCAATTATCGGTTCTTCTACTACCCAATTCTTTTTTAATCTCTCCTAATATTATGTTATTGCTGATACCGCAGAACTGCTCAGGTCCTACAAAGGGTGTTTGAGCCCCTTTCCTTGCAAGACTATCTGCAATCTCGTTACCCTGTACCGTTATGTCCCGGGATCCAAGTGAGAGTAACTCTATTTTTCTCGCCTAGCTCATTCAATTGTTCTAGGCATCTCCAGACCATTTTTGAGCTGATTACGTAAGAACTCAACGCTTTGATGGCTGCTTGACTATCGGACATGATGATAATCTCTTGTCTATGATAGTTTCTCTCGATGTTAAACTGGATACACTTCTCGATGGCGTGAATTTCCGCCTGGAAGATGCTTGGGTATTTTCCCAAGCTTTCGGAGTGCTTGGTTCTCGGCCCATACACTCCTATTCCAGTTCCTTCTATGGATTTGGAACCGTCCGTATACCACTAATAGCACGTCTTTCGGTTGCAAGCGCGATGGATTCTTGGCTCCATTCTTTCCAGCTCCGTGGTTTTGAAGTTTTTCACAAAACTGTACTTTTGCATTTCATCCTGGGGCATGTCCCAGGTATCTTTAGTCCTGAAGCAAGTAGTCTTTCGTCTGATTACTCCGTTCCTGATCATTCTATATCGTGTCCTTTTCACCACATTCTCTATCATCTAATGTGGAGGGGTGAGGTTTAAGATCACCTCCATTGCGGCCGTAGGACAGGTTCTCATTGCACCAGTAATGCAAACACAGGCTATCTTTGTACTTTTGAGATATTAGCTCTCGTAGTAACTAAACTAGTTCTGTTACTCCAGGCTATAGCCCCGTTTGTGATAATAATAATAATAATAATAATAATAATAGATAGATAGATAGATAGATAGATAGATAGATAGATAGATAGATAGATAGATAGATAGATAGATAGATAGATAGATAGATAGATAGATAGATAGATAGATAGATAGATAGATAGATAGATAGATAGATAGATAGATAGATAGATAGATAGATAGATAGATAGATAGATAGATAGATAGATAGATAGATAGATAGATAGATAGATAGATAGATAGATAGATAGATAGATAGATAGATAGATAGATAGATAGATAGATAGATAGATAGATAGATAGATAGATAGATAGATAGATAGATAGATAGATAGATAGATAGATAGATAGATAGATAGATAGATAGATAGATAGATAGATAGATAGATAGATAGATAGATAGATAGATAGATAGATAGATAGATAGATAGATAGATAGATAGATAGATAGATAGATAGATAGATAGATAGATAGATAGATAGATAGATAGATAGATAGATAGATAGATAGATAGATAGATAGATAGATAGATAGATAGATAGATAGATAGATAGATAGATAGATAGATAGATAGATAGATAGATAGATAGATAGATAGATAGATAGATAGATAGATAGATAGATAGATAGATAGATAGATAGATAGATAGATAGATAGATAGATAGATAGATAGATAGATAGATAGATAGATAGATAGATAGATAGATAGATAGATAGATAGATAGATAGATAGATAGATAGATAGATAGATAGATAGATAGATAGATAGATAGATAGATAGATAGATAGATAGATAGATAGATAGATAGATAGATAGATAGATAGATAGATAGATAGATAGATAGATAGATAGATAGATAGATAGATAGATAGATAGATAGATAGATAGATAGATAGATAGATAGATAGATTTCTACTAAACAAAGAGAAGATTAAAATAGGATGGACCCAATGTAGAATCTTCGAGAAAAAACGGGATACAAGGTGCTTCAGATGTTGGGAACCAGGACATAACATATCAGACTGCCAGGGTCCAAATAGAGAACACCTATGCCTAAAATGTGGAAAGGAAGGACATAAAGCCAAGGATTGCCAAAACAACTCATACTGTATGACATGTAACGAGGAAGGACACCAAACCAGTAGTTTCAAATGCAAAATTAAGATGAAGCCGGAGGAAACAACACTAAATATCCATGGTGAGGGATAGCCGCAAATGATCTTGTGCTAATAAACAGAGGAAACAAACCAACATTTCACAGGGAAAACTATTCCTCTATTCTGGACTTAACCATCGCAACAGCAAATATAAGCCCACTAGTAGCAGGATGGGAAGTAAGCGACCAGGAATCCCTGAGCGACCACAGCTACATTACATTTGACGTTGTAGAAGAAAAACCTACACCTCCAGCACCAAAAGTCTACGGTTGGCAAACAAGGAAACTAAACAA